CTCATGATGATGATGATGATGATGATGATGATGATGATGATGATGATGATGATGATGATGATGATGATGATGATGATGATGATGGGGAGGAGAAGGAGGAGGAGGTGGAGGAGGAGGAGGAGGAGGAGGAGGAGGAGTGGGGTGCGTCCAGGACGTGGGAACCCCTCTGATTCAACCGACAAGCTGCCTAACACTCCCCGAAGTGCCGTAGCAACGGTGGCGGACTGCGATTGGAGCGTGTATCGGGTAGCTGCGCCGTGTCTCACAGCCGAAGAGCTGGCCGCGGACGGATTTTTTCTAATTTCTAGGACATTCCAGCAGTTGCAGTGGATGTCGCATTCCCAACTTTTTGAAAAGGCTCTCGAGGATGCAGTAATGCCATATTTTTGTATTCTCTTTGCCATACCCCCACAATCTCTTGCTGCTATCAGACCGCAGCAGAAGCTAGTAACCACTAGATCCGGTTGTCATCCAAGGTGATTCAGCTGGTTGGACACCTCACACGCAGTAGCGATGCCGTGCTCTGTGTGAAGGTTCGCTCCGCTATGGAATTTAATTGTGACGCCCAGGCTTCAGGGAGCACGAGGAGGGAGAGGTTGGAGGAGGACCAGGAAGGACGTGTTACGATACACAGCCCGATTGCGGCTACCCGCAGCTAGCTCCAACAGCGAGCTGTCCTGCACAAGAGGTCGAAGCGGGGGGAGGGAGGCAGGCAGCCCTGCCTGCGAATTGCGCTGCAGGAGCGACTCCTGGGCGGGTGCTGCATTCCACTCTCCCGCTGCACAGCGGATGACCTCAGAGGCGATTTGTTCGGTCAGCGGGCGTGCTCCGCTGCTGAACCACGAGCGCCGTGGATTCCCCTTCCCATCAGTTGGGTAGCTGGGAGGCTTTCTCTGTGTGGCGGTGGCGGGGGCTTCTAGAAGAGACGCTTCTGCTTCTGCTCCTTCAGGGTGGATGAGGACAAACAAACACACATTCATATATCTATTTATTTTGATACGCCACCGCTCATATAGGTATACATGTATGTATGTATGTATGTATGCATGCATGCATGCATGCATGCATGCATGTATGTATGTATGTATGTATGTACGTATGTACGTATGTACGTATGTACGTATGTACGTATGTACGTATGTATGTATGTATGCATGCATGCATGCATGCATGTATGCATGTATGCATGTATGCATGTATGCATGTATGCATGTATGCATGTATGCATGCAGGCATGTATGCATGTATGCATGTATGCAGGTATGCATGTATGTATGTATGTATGTATGTATGTATGTATGTATGTATGTATGTATGTATGTATGGATATATGTACCTATACGACCACCCTGCGGGTGATAAGGAGGTGGGGGGGGGGGAGGGGGCCACCGCGCGCCTCCCGCGCCTTGCAGTCCGCCCGCACACCGGCAGCTCTCCGATATACCTTCGTTCCTGGCTTCCGAGTGGCCACTCCCAGGGAAGCAGCGTATTTCATGAGCTCTGGCTTCGGCATCTTGTCAACGGGAGCCATGAGCCCGCGCGCGCGCCGCTGCCACTGAAGGGCGTCAGCGTGGCACGATGTTTCCAGAGAGGCGAGCGCCCGGCTGGTGCCCCCCAGGGCACCTCGAGTCGCGAGGAGGAGGAGGAGGAGGAGGAGAAGAAGGAGGAGGAGGAAAGTTGCCCGAGATGGTTCATGGCACCCTTCATTCTTGAGAGCCTTGGTGTTAAGAGCCTTGGTGTGAAGAGCCTCAATATCGATATCACTGTTGAGCTGGCAGTCGATCTCAGTATCGATCGTCCTATCGATCTCAATATCGTTTTCACTATCGGTCTCATCGATCTAACTATCGATATCATTATCGATACCACTATCGATCTCAGCACGTGAAACCACGGGACACCGACGGGACACCGATGGGACACCGCCGCGACACAATCGATCTCACTGTCGATCTCGCTATTCATCCCACTATCGATCCCACTATCGATCTCGCTGTCGATCTCACTATCGATCTCGATTTCGATCTCAGTATTCACCTCACGATCGATTCAACTATCGATCTCGCTATCGATCCCACTCGATCGATCTCACTATCGATCTCTCTACCGATCTTACTATCGATATCACGATCGTTCTCACTATAGATGTCACTATCGATCTCTCACTATAGATCTCACTATCGATCTCACTATCGGTCTCATTATCGATCTCACTATCGATCTCACTATCGATCTCACTGTCGATCCTACCACGGGACACCACGGGACAACGACGGGACACCGGCGGAACACCAGCGGGACACCGGCGGGACACCGGCGGGACACCGCGCGCCACCGGTTGCCGGGCGGAGAACCTTTTGGTCCGGCCGCGGCCCAGCCACGACGGGACACTGGCGGGACTCCAGCGGGACACCAGCGGGACACCGGCGGGACACCGCGCGCCACCGGTTGCCGGGCGGAGAACCTTTTGGCCCAGCCGCGGCCCAGCCACAGGAGAATTTTCTCTCTTCCGCCCACGCAGCTTCGCCTCGCCCGCACGCACGGCACGAACACGAAACCGAAATCGATTTCCCGGTATGGGGGCTCTTCGTTCCACTTCGATCTCACCCCCCAACCTCCGATGTAGGTATGTATGCATATATGTATGTACGTATGTATGCATGCATGTTTGTAGGCATGTGTGTATGAATGTGTATATATGTTTGTATGTCTGCATGCATGAATGTATGTATGGGCGCATGCATGTATATATGTATGTATGGATGCATGCATGTATATACGTACATATGCATGCATGTACGTATGTATGCGTGTATGTATGTTTGCATATAGGTGTGTATATGTATAGGTGTATGTATGCTTGCATGCATGCATGCATGTATGCATGCATGCATGCATGTATGTATGTATGTATGTATGTATGTATGTATGTATGTATGTATGTATGTATGTGTGTGTCTGTCTGTCTGTCTGTCTGTCTGTCTGTCTGTCTGTCTGTCTGTCAGTCAGTCAGTCTGTCTGTCTGTCTGTCTGTCTGTATGGATGTATGTATGTATGTATGTATGTATGTATGTATGTATGTATGTGGTGATTCACGTATGTATGAGGCATGCATGCACGTATGTATGTATGCATGTATGTGTGTATGTATGTATGCACGCATGCATGGTTGTCTGTATGTATGTATGTATGTATGCATGTCTGTCTGCCTGTATGTATGTGTGTATGTATGTTGGTTTGTTCGTTCGTTGGATTGTTTGTTCGTGTGTATACACATGTACACCAACATATTTAGATATGTTATATTACATAACTACAGTTGTACATAATCACGCACATATATATATATATGTTTATATATACATACATATGTATACACATACAGTTACGCACGCATATTTTCTGGCGCTGCCTGAATTGTCGGTCGATCTCCACCGTGTTGGGGGTGGGGTGGCTTGCGTTTTGGGGGAACGCGCCGACCTTGGCCAGGTCTGGGGCACGGGAGGGGCCGTATACCTCCCCAGAACGTTGCTCTCGGCATGGTGCTCTCGCCTCCGCGCCGCCAGCCGCACCCCTGCTTGGCACTGGACACGGCTCTGGCCTCAGCGCCCGGCACATCCTTGGCTGCAGGTGGGTCTGCGGCCTGAGCGCCTGCGAGCAGCAGATGTGTGCAGCTCTCGCCGCCCGGCCGTCCTCCCTGCCCCCCCTCCTCCTCCCTCTCCTCCTCCTCCTCCTCCTCCTCCTCCTCCTCCTCCTCCCTCCTCCTCCTCCTCCTCCCAGGGGACGTTCGCTCCTCCTCCTCCTCCTCCTCTCCCTCCTCCTCCTCCTCCTCCTCCTCCTCAGCCTCCTCCTCCTCCTCCTCCTCCTCCTCCTCACTGGCCTCCCTGCAGCTCGCGCGTGGCCGCCCCCCGTTGGCGGCACGCCCCCCGCCGCGCCCCTCTCCTCGGAGGGGGGCGCCGGCTGTGCACCCGCACCGGCCCCGGCCAGGCCAAAGCCGGGCCCGGGATCGGCGCGCGCGCCCCGCAGGCCTGGCCAGGGAGGCGTGTGCACTCCTCCTGGGCCTCGGGGGTGTTGTGGTTTCGGCGTCGCCCCAGCATGCCAAGACTCTGTGTGCGCCGCCACCCCCAGGGGGCGACGCGCGCGCCGAGAAACCGTACAGCATATGCGTCTTGGCGGGCGCTTTCTGGCCACACCGCTCGGGAAACGATCTGTACCACAAGGCGGGTAGGCCATAGGTGTTCGGGCCGGACGCGCGCGCCGCCAAGGAGGACGTGTAGTGCTATAGTCTGTCCCTGTGCGTCCCAAAGTTGATGCCCTCCGACTGCCGCTCTGCTGGCCCACCCTCCCCGCCACGGGCCCTTCGCAGCTTGCGCGGCCGCCCCCGCGGACGCGCCCCCGCCCTGGCCTTCCCTCGGAGGGCGCCAGCTGTGCACCCGCCCCGGCCCTGGCCGGGCCGACGCTGCGCCCAGGACCAAGGCCTGCGCTTCCCTGGCCAGGCCAAGGGGGCGTACACCGTACACAGGCCATCGTTTTCTGATTCCCTGCTTTGCCGATCGGCGCGTGCCCTCGCGCCTCCTCCCCGCCCCCATGGTGTAGATCTCTGTGGTTTTTGGCGCCTGCTTCAAGCGGGCGGAGTCTCTCCCATGGGTTCCAAACAGTCGCATAAAGCAGAGGTCCGGAGGTAGACCCCCCCCTCCCCCCCCCTTCCGCCCAATGCCGAAACGCCGAATAAGAAAACGTTCACCAGGCAAGACGCCGAAGGAAGGACCGCGGTGTGCTCAGGAGGGGCTCGGTCCGGTTGCCGGGCCGTGCCTGGGATCGACCTGTGTGGGGGAAGGCTGCTCGTGGCCGAGGCTCGCCGTGGCCGAACGGAAGCTCCTCGCTGCAGGTGCTCAGCGCTCCCCGTGGCAGCACGAGGACTGTGCGCCGATCCAGGGCTGGCCCTGGCCAGGGTCCGTGCAGGCGTACAGCTGGTGCCCTCCTCCTCCCAGGCTCTGGCCATGAGCTGCCGCCTGGGCTCCCCGCCCCTCCCCGCGCCGCCTGTGCGGAGCACGATCTGCCAGTCGGGCGTCGACCCGGAGCTGCGGCGCAGGTGGGACGAGATGGTCGCCGAGCGGTGCCGGCGCGCGGAGCAGGCCGACGGGGAGCTCGAGGCCGCCGGGGATCGGGGCGGAGTCCCGAGGAGGTGCGCCCCCGGGGGAGGAGAAGGTGCCGATCAGGTGCTCTGTAGAGCGGTCTCGTGGGCCGTTTTGGCCCTGGTTTCGTCGGGCAGCAGGACGAGAGAAGACGATAGCAACAGGAACACGGAAGCCACTGTCTCGGTCGAGCCCTGGTGCCGACGCCGCTGCTCGTGCTGGTGGGCCCTCGTCGTCACGGCCGGGCTCTCCGCGCGGTGCGGGTCGGGGCGCGTCCCGGGGAGAGGTCCGGGGAGCGGCGGCGTCTGTGCCTCTCGGCTCGACCACCCGCCCCCGCGCCCACGGTCGAGCTGAAGGGGGAGGGGAGGGGAGCAGGCAGGCGAGGAGCTCGAGGCCGGGGGGGGGATCCAAGTGAGAGCAGTGGCGAAGCGCCCTGGCTTGCCCATAGCCTCACCAAAGAACCTTCTAAGAACCTTCTGTGGTTTGCACGAGATGTTCTAGGACCCCGTTATTGTTTTACACGGGATGTTCTAACACGGTCTTTTTGTTGATACATGAGTCGTTGTTTTTTGTTCTAACAATCTTCTGTTCTAATACCATGTTGTGGTGGGCCTACGAGAATGCTGGGACGGCGAGTCCCTGTTCAAGCAAGGTGTTCGCGTCGCAGTCGGTCGCGTTGGTCGGTTCGGTTCGGTCGGCTGTTGTGTCGGCTGCCGCGTCGCCTGCGCCCTGTCGGTTTCGGTCGGTTTTCGGTTTTGCTGTCGCCGTGGGCGGTTGTAGGATCGGGGTGGAGTGCCGGGGAGATGTGGCCACCCGCGCCAGCGGGCGAGCGGAAGAGGGAGGGGAGGAGTGCTCCAGGCCTTCGAGCAGACGGGGCCGGTGGACCCCGTCCACTCGGTCCCCATTTGCGCGGGGAGGGGTGCTCCGCCACAAACACATGTGCACAGACACCCTCCACTGGATTGCTCCACTGGACTTGCTTCAGGGGAGGGTGGCGGTGCATAGATCACCACTCAGAGCCAGCGGCTTTCTACGCCGTCCCCTCCCTGAAGGTACACGCGAAGTTCGTCGGAGGGTGTCTGCGTACCTACTTCTGTGGCACAGGTGCGCACGCAGCGGGTGTGGGGGGGGGGGAGGGCGGCTGACCACGGGGTGCTCTGGGGCGGGCCGCCGGGGCGCGGCTCGCCGTCCAGCACACGAGGGCGCCACACCGTGCCCCCGTCTCCAGCGTCGGCCGAGCGTCGAGGGCCGCTGGGGGGTGCGGCCTGCAGGCCTGTCTTACGCGAAGCCTCCCTTGAAGCCTGGGACCTCTGCTGAGGCAGGCCCATCGCTTCTAGCAGGCCCCTTGGCCACCTGCTTGCTTGGGGGGGCCGACAACACCTGCCCCAGCTCCTCCCAGCGTGTCGCGGAGCATGCAGAGCAAGGGGGTCCGGGCTCCTCACCGAATGATCCGTGCGAGCTTGTCCAGCAGTCGCCCGCTCGGCTGTGAAGCGCGCCCATACCGCACCCACGGCCTCGCGCTCTGGACTTCCTGGCCTCGACCCCGCGCACGCAGGCCGGCTTTGCGCAGATGCTCCGAGCGGAACGCATCCACGGGATCGCGTGTCCGTGGGGTCGCGCCTCGGTGTCCAGACCGCGGGGTTATGGACATGGACAGGTTCGTCGCTCGTGATGGGGCGCGTGGCATGGCGTTCACACCCGGGGGTTGCACCCGAGGCGGCGGAGGCGGAGTTCTTCGCGGAGGTGGCGGCGGCCAGGTCATGGCCGCCGGAGACGCCCGACCCGCGGCTGGCGCAGTGGCGACGGGTCGCGTGGACACCCTGCTTCCAGGACTCAGGTCACTGAGCACAAGAGAACACATACCCCTAGAACACAATGAAGGGGACGTAGGCCTACACTTTTAGGTATCCACGTCTTCCATTAGGGGAAAGCAACTCTGGGTGGTTGACTTGATACATTTGTAGAACTTAGTCCTACCCCGAACGGCGTGGGGTTCCATCCGAAACTTAGGTACCCTCCCAAAGGGTTCGGGGAATTTTTATTGCTTTTCATCAGGGGGCGCAGAAGCGCGCGCCGTGAGCGTTGCGGATGTAGACTGCCAGAGGACGCGCTACGAGGCAGAGCCGGTCCGCATGTACCGGGCCAGTGCTAGCTGCCTCCTCCGAGCAGTGACGTCTCCAGCTCCTCCTTTCCTCCCTCCTACCTGACGGTCCGTCGCCGTCGTATGTCGTATCCTCTTCCTTCCTACTGGCCTTTTACACCTTCTCAACTTCTCTACGATCTCTACTCTCCTACCTCTTTCCTAATTCATCTCTGCTCTCCTCTACCTAGCTGACTCCTCTCCTTTCTACTCTCCTCTCCTCCCTGCTCCTCTACACTCTCCTATCCTCCTCTCCTACTCCTCCCCTCTCCTCTCCTCTCCTACTCCTCTCTCTCCTCTCACTCTCCTCTCCTTCTCCTACTCCTCTCCTCCTCTCCCTCCTCACCTCCCTCCATCCTACCCTCCTCATACTCACTACTCCTCCTCCTCCTCTCTCCTCTCCTTCCTCATCCTCCTCCCCCTCCTCCCCCTCCTCCTCATCCTCCTCCTCCTCTCGCTCTCGCCCTCTCCCTTCCCTCTCTCTCCTCCTCCTCGTCCTCCTCCTCCTCCGCCTCCTCCTCCTTTCTCCTCTCTCCTCTCCTTCTCCTCCTCCTCCTCCTCCTCCTTTTCCTCCTTTTCCTCCTCCTGCTCCTCTTCCTGCTCCTCTCAGAAGGGATTTGCTCAGTCGTCACTTCCGTTCTGCGCAGCATGTGTAGACGCTTTAAACCCCGCAGAGCAGGAGCTCTGAGCGCAGCAAGTAGTCACGATAGCATTGAATGCGTGAGACTATGGAATGCCGTTTGCACTCAGCAGTAGGTGGCAGGGGCTACATGGCAAGGGGAGTCAGGTGATATTCCTATCAGTGAACAGGGACATTCTTTCCCTGCGGGGGGACAGGGGCGGCGATGCAGATAGGAGGATGGGCAGGATCAGGCTGATGAAGACGAGCATCTTCTTACTCGAATGAGGTCAAGTTTTACAGCTTCCTCTTTCGCTAACCGTGTTCGGTATGTGGCCACTTCTTCGGGCTCCATCGTGCTTCGCTGCCTAGTCGTCGCCCGGCTAGCGCTGGGCCGTGTGGGCAGTTTTCAATGTATCTGTCTTGTCGCAGCGCTTGTTCACGACCTGCGTTTGCGCATCCACTTTCTCCGTTGTCTTGGCCTTCTCGTGCCGTACTTGGCCCTCAACGTTGTCCTCCCAGCTTTCCTAAGCGTGCTCTTGGTTCGCTTGGACTTGATCGTGGAGGTCTCATCGTGATGTGCTGAATTCGTAGTTGTAATTGTTTGTCGGTGTCGCGGGCTTCCAATATTATCGCTACATCGTGTTCGATACATATCAATTCCATATCATGCGAAATGGTCCGCGTTTATCTAGCTATCCGTATACCCATGAAATCCGCAAATCCACTGTGCCGCTGGTCGTACTCCGAACGTGGCTATTTCGATTTGTTGGGGGAGTCAATACCTCAGTTGCTGGGAGCGTATGCGGGTCCAGGCAGGTACTGGTCATACTCCTCGCGGTTTTGCCATTCTTGCATCCTCTTTTTATTCGCATGACCGTTCGATTCCAGTGGCGTGTTCGTATGCCAATGCCGACGTATGGGGTCTTGCATATTCTCGAAGGGGTCGACCAAAACGGTGTTTCGGCGATTTTATGTGCCGTTTTCGTTTTGATTTCGTTTTGCAGAAAAGGTGGTTTGAAGACAAAACGAGGGAACAACAAAAACAAAACGAGAGCGAAAATCACTGTTCAGGTCGATCCCTGTATTTTCGTTCCTCTTCCTCTCAGCGCTGCCCCTTCCCAGGACCCGCAGCGGGGCAGCCCGGCCACCTCCGCAGACGGCGGCGGTGGCGCGGCGGCTCCCAAGGCTGACGGCGGGGCCTGTGGATCTTGGAAATAAGCTTTGTTGGTCGTCTACAAGGCAGTCGTCCTCCTGGCAGGACGTCCGTTTTCGGGTGGACCTCATGGCCGGGGCCATGATACCTTCCCGGATGTCAGCCCCCCCCCCCATATTCTCTCACTCAATACGTCCCTGGCCCTAGGCCGTGATCATTCGTTCGCGCACGTGCCTCGGGCCATGATTTACGAACCCCCTCGTTGTCGTCGCCCACCTCCATCGACAACTCCTTTTCCTATCGTCGCTCATCAGGGTAAGGGGGCCGAGCGGTCTTGCACCATTCGTGGGTGCGTGGGGAAAGTAGGATTCTGTGGCCCGGACTCTGTTTGTTGTTGTTTGTTGTTGACATGTCATTTCTGAAGAATAATCGCGAAGGCCCTACGGCCGGTGCCGCCGACCCTGAATGGAGACGTCGACGACGACGACGACGACGTTGGTGGTGGTGGTGATGGTGGTGATGATGGCAACGATGAAAGACGACGGTGACGACAACGATCATGATGATGGTCATGAAGATGAGAGTGATGATGAGGATGATGGTTGATGATGCTGATGATGATGACGATGCTGCTGATGATGCTGATGATTCTTATGATGTTGACGATGACGATGATGAGGATGAAGATGAAGATGATGATGATGATGATGATGATGATGATGATGATGATGATGATGATGATGATGATGATGATGATGATGATGATGATGATAATGTTGATGATGATTATTATGCTGGCCATGATGATGATGATGGTGGTGGTGATGATGATGCTGACGATAATGATGATGGTGATGATGATGACGATGACGATGCTGATGCTGATGATGATGCTGATGATGGTAGTGATGATGATGGTAGTGATGATGACGATGCTGATGATGATGATGATGATGATGATGATGATGATGATGATGCTGATGCTGCTGCTGCTGCTACTGATGATGATGATGATGATGATGATGATGATGATGATGATGATGATGATGATGATGATGATGGCGAGGACGACGACGATGACGCTCTGGACCCGAAAGTTTCTCCCAGGGAGGTGTGCTGCCCTCCAGGGCGGGGGTCACAACCCGCGGGACCCCCTTCCCCGCCTCCCCCGGGACTCCCACCATTCCCGCGGCGGGGGAGGTTTCAAAGGAAGGGGGCTTCCCTTCGACTCGATAACGACGTTGCTCGATTTCCCTTTGGCTGGAACGCATTAAAGGGGAGCGACGTCGACGACGACGACTCAAACGGAGAGGCCTCTCACACACGCCGTCCGAAGTGTTCGGCCGGAGGCTCACTCAAAACAAATTGATGATGAATGATATGATGATGCTGCCTTGTAAGAACGAGTGTATGATTTTGCCTAGCTGATAGATTCTAGAATATATAGAGACGTTGATGAATTGTGCTGATTCTGATGCACTTTCTTTTTATTCTTTTATTTTTTTTTTTTTAGGTTTGCGGTAGCTATCCCCTGGAACATATCTATTCTTTACGCTTCGCGTATCCCCACCAGCCCATCTCACAGCAGCAACTCTCGCGAAGCATGCCGACAGTCGTGTTTTTACCTAACATCGAAGACTGATAGGTTTCTAATAGTGTAAAAAGAGAGCAGCACATTACTCCACAGGGGGGTCTGGGCAGCCGTTGGGGAGCCGTTGGGGGGCCGTTGGGGGGGCCGTTGGGGATTCCCAGGGGGGATCCGCGGAACCTCGTTTTTCGCATACAGTCACACACTTCGTGCTTTTCGACCTCCCAGAACTCCATTCCCGGGCCACATTCTGAATGCCCGGAGCCAACTGTATGCCACTTCGTGCTCTTCGACTTCCCAGAACTCCATTCCCGGGCCACATTTTGGATGCCCGGAGCCAACTGTAGGCCACTTCGTGCTCTTCGACTTCGCAGAACTCCATTCCCGGGCCACATTTTGGATGCCCGGAGCCAACTGTAGGCCACTTCGTGCTCTTCAAGTTCCCAGAACTCCATTCCTGGGCATGATTGTGAATGCCCGGAGCCAACTGTAGGCCACTTCGTGTTCTTCTAGCTCCCAGAACTCCATTCCTGGGCCACATTTTGAATGCTGAGGCAGGCTGATGCTGCGGCCGAGGCAGGCTGAGGCTGAGGCAGGCTGAGGCTGAGGCCGAGGCCGAAGGCAGACTGAGGCTGAGGCTGAAGCAGACTGAGGCTGAGGCTGAGGCAGGCTGAGGCTGAGGCTGAAGCAGGCTGATGCTGAGGCAGGCTGAGGCTGAGGCTGAGGCGGATGCAGGCTGAGGCTGAGGCAGGCTGAGGCTGCAGGCTGAGGCTGAGGCAAAGGCTGATGCAGGCTGAGGCTGAGGCAGGCTGAGGCTGAGGCCGAGGCTGAAGGCAGATTGAGGCTGAGGCTGAAGCAGGCTGAGGCTGAGGCTGAGGCTGAGGCAGGCTGAGGCTGAGGCTGAGGCAGGCTGATGCTGAGGCAGGCTGAGGCTGAGGCTGAGGCTGATGCAGGCTGAGGCTGAGGCAGGCTGAGGCTGAGGCCGAGGCTGAAGGCCGACTGAGGCTGAGGCTGAAGCAGGCTGAGGCTGAGGCTGAGGCAGGCTGAGGCTGAGGCTGAGGCAGGCTGAGGCTGAGGCAGGCTGAGGCTGAGGCTGAGGCTGATGCAGGGTGAGGCTGAGGCAGGCTGAGGCCGAGGCCGAGGCTGAAGGCAGACTGATGCTGAGGCTGAAGCAGGCTGAGGCTGAGGCTGAGGCAGGCTGAGGCTGAGGCTGTGACTGCGACTGCCGTTGCCATTCCGACTGTCATCGCGAATGCGACTACGACTGCGAGACAATTGGATTCTCATTTGAATCTCGAGGGGAATGCTTCCAGATATGCTCCTACACATCGATGTTAGGTTGCTTTGCCGGGATAATTCAGGCGTGTGTCCGCTTGGCTCCGCATATCTCCCCTGTTCCTTCCTTCCTCCTTCCTCCTTCGTGGTGTGAGTCGTTCGAGGCCCGCGTCGTGGTGTGAGTCGTTCGGGCTCCTCGTGGTGTGAGTCGTTCGGGGGCCTCGTCCTGGTGTGAGTCGTTCGGGCCCCTCCTTGTGGTGTGAGTCGTTCGGGCTCTTCGTGGTGCGAGTCGTTCGGGCCCCTCGTCCTGGTGTGAGTCGTTCGGGCTCCTCGTGGGGGCCTCTTGGGGGCCTCTTGGAGCCTCTTGGGGCCTCTTGGGGGCCTCTTGGGGGCCTTTTGGGGGCCTCTTGGGGGCCTCTTGGGGCCTCGTGGGGCCACTCGGGGGGCCTCTTGGGGGCCTCTTGGGGGCCTCTTGGGGCCTCTTGGGGGCCTCTTGGGGGCCTCTTGGAGGCCTCTTGGGAGCCTCCTGGGGGCCTCTTGGGAGCCTCCTGGGGGCCTCTTGGGGCCATCTTGGGGCCTCTTGCGACCTCAGAAGCGCAAATGAGCGCGGCCCCCTGAGAAGGACAAAATGAGGCCAAGACCTTCGTAAAATCAATGATTTTGCTATGAAGGAAGATGAGCGCTGCCCCCTCAGGACGCCAACATGAGGCCAAAACCGTAGTAAAATCAATGATTTTGGCTTCGAAGAAGAGCAGAGGGGCCTGACTCCCTCCCCCCGTCGGGGCCAGAATCCTCGTGAGGGTAGTTGTTTTTTAGCCCTCCCAGGAGTCGAAATTGACCCCCCTGACGACCCGCGGGGGTTCCTCTCCAGGCCCAGGGGGAGGGGGTAGGGGGAGGGGTAGACCCCTCCCCGAAGGGGAAGAAGGGGGGTTGAGGACAGAGCGGGCTCTCTAAACCACTCACGCCCAAAGGGCTGGTGGGACTTTTGTCAACTGAAATGCCCCTCCCGGACTGCAAGGGAAAGTCTTGCGCGTCGGACTGGGCCCCTGGCCCCCTGTTTGCAGCAACGGCTCCCGCGTGATATTGCCTCACAAGTTAGTCAGACATCGGGCTTTCGCTGGAGACTTCCTTGCAACTTGCCTAGGAATCACGCTTTCGCGTGGGATTTCCTCGCAATTCATTCAGACGGCGCGCCTTGACACTCAGAAATCACGCTCTCGCTCTGGACTTCCTCACTATTTACTTGGGAATCGCGCTATCGCTAGAGACTTCCTCGCGATTCATGCAGGACTCACACTGCAGCGACCCGCCCGCCCGACCCGCCCGTCTGGGTCCGCCCGCCTGACCCGCCAGTTCGGGTCCGCCCGCCCGTCCTGCCCGTCTGGTTCTGCCGCTTGTTATCCTGCTCCTAACCCCTCAACTGCCCCCTCACCCTTGTCCCTTCCCTCCTTCCTCCCTTCGCACTCTTCTGTCCTCCTCGCTGTCTCTTGTATCCTGCCTTCCTCCTCTTTCTGTTGTAATGGCTGCGCCAGCTACACGTGGCAGGTATGGAAGGTATGCCCCCTGAGGGGGGTGTGATACAAGAGGGCGTGTATCGAGGGTTTGTGATCGACGTATTGATTGACACACGAGCAGATGAGAGCGAACCGCCTAAAACTGGTCGTTGTTTATGGTAGTTGTTGTTGTTGTTGTTGCTATTGTTGTTGTCGTCGTCGTTGTTGTCGTCGTCGTTGTCGTTGTTGTTGCTGTTGTTGTGGCTGCTTATGTTGTTATTGTTGTTGTTTGTGTTATTGTTGTTGTTCTGGCTAGGCTTGTTATTATTGTTGGTGTCGTTGTTATTGATGGTGTTGTTGCTGTTGCTTTTGTTGTTGTTGGTGTTGTTGTTCCTGTTGGTGGTGCTGGTGTTGGTGTTGGTGTTAGTGTTGGTGTTGGTGTTGGTGTTGGTGTTGTTGTTGTTGTTGTTGTTGTTGTTGTTGTTGTTGTTGTTGTTGTTGTTGTTGTTGTTGTTGTTGTCATTGTTGTTGTTGTTGTTGTTGTTGATGTTGTTGTTATTGTTGTTGTGGTTGTTGAAGTTTTTGCTTTTGAATGGTAATTACTAAACAGTGATTACTGTTGGGCCCCTTCAGGCGCCCTGGCGCTGTCGCCGAGGCGCCGGCTACATGTTCATTG